TAAACCAAAATTTCGTTTTCGTTTAAATTTGGTCCAAACGGAATCTAAACAGCATTTCTACAACAGTGATAGAAACAAGATATGATCAAATTTGGTTTAGATTGTGTTCAAATGACCCAATCTAAACGAAATCTGATGGTACGGTAGAAGATGCTCTAAGCTCACAGCTCACAGCTACAGTTCAGCTAGCTACCGGTACACAGCTATGGGTCACTGCTCTATGGCTCTCGCTCAACATCACACAACATCACGTGAAGAGCTACGTGAAGCAGCCTTACACGAGTTGAGTGACAGTTTTGATTTTCGGATTTACTTTGCAAATTCGTCAATGAGTCAGCGTGAAACAATAGGACAATAGGTGAAACAATGAGGGACTGGTCGTCTTTGGTTGCCGGAGCTATTATACATTATGCAGCCATTCGGCTGTTGCCCTTCTGGCTTTTAGAAAGAAAAGGGCACCCGAAGGAAGCAGAAAGGCCTTCCAAAGAGAAAGTATGAACCAAAAGATCCAGCTAGATTTCCTTTGTGGTACTAGTACGGGACCGAATGACCGAATGTAGCACTGTAGCACTTTAAAAGTTCGGTCCCAAAATAAATGGTCAAAATTTGACACTGAGTATTATTTATTATTCTGATTGTCTCTTTGTCTCTTTCACCGCAGCATTTGGCAAGATCAGATCAGCAGAACATTTCCGCCGGAGACTCATCATAGCAGTACCATAGTACTCATCAGAGAAGCTCTCAGAAAGTACAACATTTAGCCGCCCCTAGCTAGCTGTATTGGCCCAAGACCATCAGCTTGCCAGCTACTAGCTAGGTACCAGCCAGCGGACGATTCCTTCTCATCCCTTGGTCCATTTGGTTCGCATGTGGACATGGTAAGCAAGCAGAGAAGCCCCGACCCAATGCCGCCTGCTGATTGATCGACAACTCAGTGTGAGTGCAGCTGCCAGCAGCATGAAGCGAACGAATCGAATCTACATAAATAAATGTACTCAGTACATGTAGTACCTTGGTTAAAATTTGATTACATCTCCGTGCCTGCATGGCCGCTCCCTTTTCTCGTTGTTTGTGCGGGCGGAGTATCTATACATGTACATTGACTTGGCTGGGTGGTTCAATAGTCGCAGCCAATCCTGGACCGGGCTCTAAAGCCTAAAGACCACCGAAGAAAATGATGATGCGTACACGCAGCCAAGTTGAAAGCTTTAGAGGCTGCAGGCTCAGTAGAATTCACATCCCGGAACTTGGCATTCCTCAGTTTGGGTAGCCATCTGAATGACCCGTCCTCTGTCCTTGGCCGGAGAATACCATAGCATAGCGCTAGCAGGCACTGACAGGCAGGGCGAGTGAAGAGATTGGCCGACGCAGCACCAACATCACACTAGGAATGGCTGTAGTTGCAGTACCCGGAAGCAATGACATTCCAATCGTTCACCCTTGGGCGTTTGACTTCGCTCGTGTCTGCTTTAGATATAGGTGCAATGCGGCAGGCAACCATCCTGGACAGTAGCTGGGCGGGTGCAGGGCTGAGTCGAGTCTAAAGCTAAATGTGCCGCTTCGATTTTAGTTTGGAGTGCGGATCTCGAGCAGGTGACGCGATGTCAGCGCCTGCTCGTGGTGCACTTGGGTGCTGCCCTAGTTGAGATCAACAACCACCAGAAGCTTCGGCCGACCACATGGGTTCAACCTGGTGTACGTAGTCCCAATGAGGAACTTGGGAGTAATAGTAATTCCGGTGGGCATCCACTCTCGATCGTTACGAGGATCGGACGAAAAGCGAAAGAACATCGAGAGAACAGATCCCTTCAGCATCATGCTCGCGCGCCAGTCATGGTTGCAAACGTTTCAAGAGGGACTCGACTCGATCGACCCTTATTGGGGGGGTTTCGTTCGTCCAAGCCCACAGACTGGACTCTTGACATCCTTTCTTGTAAAGGACCTTTCAATTAGGACAGCGCTTGGTGAAGGCGGCACTGCAGACATTGGGGATTGATCATTCATAGACGATAGTTCAACTAGACAACCTACAACACAACGGATGCCCAACGAAGGCAGCACTAAAACTATGGCACAGATTAGCAAAGGGAGCCTTCGACAAACTTCTTAGATAATTGTTGTTGTCTCAATTCATTAGCACCAACATATGTTCGGCATTCCACCAGCGCTATGCCTTGTACACATCCTTTCAAGCTTGAATGCACCTTATGCAGGTGAGGGGAACCATTGGTGGTCTTCCTGAGACCAATCCCAGTTTCAGCCAGGTGCAGCTACTTCAGGCTTCGGCTGCACACAGTGTTGATCCGTCCATTGGGGCCATATCCTTTATACATATTTTGTGTGTGAGAGAGTGTGTTTAAGATCAGTAAATTTTGTTGTCTCGACTACTCTGCAAACTGGCCTTCTACATCGATTTGATCCGGCACAGTTTGGATGGCTTCCTCCTCCTGGGGGACCGAGAGAGTAGATCGCGTCATGGAAGATTTGGTACTCATGGGAGTAATCCAAAATGTTCGAAGTCGTCCCTTGCCTTTTGCTTCGATTCCTCCTTCTCGTTCTTCGACCCAAGCCTTTTTCCCTGCCTGGATGAGGAGCTCTGCCGTTGAAAGGGATGCCTGGATCCTTCCAGGCATACTGTTGGACTCCATCCGACTGGCTGTATTGACTGTGATGAAAAAGAAGATAGGCAAGCAATTTGTCAGCCACAGAAGACATAAAAGCACGTTCCTTTCATCAATCGTAGACGGAAAGGTGACTAAACTAGCTAGGAGCTTACCTGTGTCTCCAAAGAGCTGGAAATTGCAGGGAAATCAAGCGACAAGTGAGCGACAATCTGATGGTTGGATGGACGTGCAACACTTTTGACGTACTTGAAACCTGGGGCGATCGCCGCGAATGACACCCGCCGTGACGGGACCACTGTGTAATCCAACTCGAAACTGTAGGTTAACTGCATCCTCGCCTAGTCTGTGCACCAATTTGTCATGTATGAGCTGGCCCATGGCCGTCATGCATTCAGATGCAAATTTTGACATGATGACTGCATGCTCTTTCTGCGGTTTGGGGACACCTGTGATGACGGGCAAGAGAAAGCACGCCGACAAATCGATGAGAAGATGATTAAGGCATACTGGCTCCTTTACGATTGATGATCTGAGCATGCATTGCGCCCTACTGGTACACACCTGTGACGGCCAAATAGCAGTCTCCAATCTGCCAAAACGTTGACGCAAAAACAGATAAGCACCATGAAGTTAGCAGACCTGTAGCGAGAAGCTGGCAAGGCTCTAGAAAGGCTTACGGTTTCCACTTTGAAGACTCTTCGTTGCTTGGCAATTGTGTCAAACGCTCCGTACAAAGTCTCGAGCAATTCAAAGACATGTGCCGGAGTGCGATTGGAACTCCAGGCAGTGAACCCTGCGAGATCGGCAAATAAAATGGTGGCGTTATCGTACAAGTCGGCAATTTGGTTGTTGTCAGTGTTGTTGTGTTCTGGCGTGGTTGTGCTGGTTGGGATTGTTTCCTTTTGCTCCTTCTTGGTTTCATCTTGATGAAAGAGCCGGTCATGTACATTGTTGGGGAACAAGGATGTCACAATGGCAGTGGATTGAACGGCTGTCCCATGCAGACGAAATTGAATGATGTCAGATACAGATGGAATGAAATCAAGAGACCCCAACGTTCGACCATTTTGACTCTATTATGTACCTACCTGTTTTCAGGACCTTCTTCTGTCGTCGTTCGACATACACATCGTATACCAAAAAGACAAGTGATGTGACTGCAAAGATGAGCATGGCCATGACGGCAAAAATGATGGGATCATTGGAAATGAATCGTTCTTCCATGGTGTCGGAGGGGTAGAGAGTGACGACCCAAGGACAGGCGGAATGGGTCAACGGGAGACCCGTGTAGGCACTGTTGCGGGTGGAATAGGTATCGAGGTCATTCAAGGTGGACGATTGTTGTTCCTCACTGTATTTGGGATTGTGCAAATCCCCCGGTCCCAAATAGACCGTGTCGGGTCCGTTGACTTGATAGGTAAAGGTTTGATTGCACTGATCTCCATTGTGAAAGACGGCCACCATGCCGTCGGATCCTGGTGGTAAAATGTCCTTGATCATGTCTCGCCAGTAAAACGTAACGGTAAAAATGGCCACCACGGTGCTATTGTTGCTGTCATTGCTGTCATTGGTAGTCACATTCCATTCCACCTGGTTGGCGGCTCCATCGAGAATGGGGTAATAAATGTTACTCCACGGTTCTTCGGCATTGTCTCCGGGGGCGACGTAGCCCGATATCCATGCATTGGCGGCTTCTACGGCAGCCTCAGAATAGGGGTTATTGCGATCGAGTAGATTATTGACGTGGCTCAAAACCACACGACGCTGGTGGAGAACTTCGTCCAAGAAGGGCATGAGCGTGTAATCGCTGGAATAGGCATCCCAATTGTAGGGTGGAAAGTAGGGGACCATGGGAGCACTTTGCCAGTACGCCAAGTACAGTTCTTGGTTGGGAGGCACGGGGAGTTGGGTATTATTGAAGAGGACGGGACTGATCTGATAACTGGGCATGTTGAGACCGGCAAAGGTAGGATCGTGGCGTTGCGTTTCCAAAACTTCATCGACCCAACCGTCATTGGCTACCGAGTAGTTTTCCCAGGTTTCCCGTTGCTCAGGCCAAACTATGTGATACTGACCCAATGCTACCGCCTTGGAGAGACTACGAATCTTGGACGTTCGAACACCGTAGTGAGGCAACGTTACGTACGGCCATTCGGACGCCGTAGCTTCGGCAAACGACGTAAGGGTCGTCACGAACGAATCTACGGCGCCCAGTGTTTGATCCAGTGTGCTTCCAAAGGCTTCGAGCATTTTCGTCGAATCTCCGTGAAACGCTGTGGCAAACGACGATTGCTCGGCATTGCTCACATAAGCGTAGACGGCTACACTGACACCAACCATGGCAACGGCCAATAAGCCCAGCAACACCAATTTCAACCGAAAAACGGCTTGACTCTCTTTTTGCGCCAACCGTTGGTTTTCCGCGTCATTGTTCTTGGCCGACGCGGGATCAACATCTTGGTTTTCGCCTACCGCGGAAGTGTGATTGGACGAGTGAGACACAACACTGCTGCCGTCTTCATCACCCACATAGCAGTCGTCCTCTTGGTTGGGTGCGTTCATAATGCAAGTCTTCAGTGTTACTACAGGAATCCGCTGTGCAATATCTTTGGTCGAGCGATACCGGTACCAGTGTCGTCTGCGGCAAAATTGTGAGGAGTACCCGCAGTAATTTTGTGGCTGAATGATCAGTCACTCTGCTCTGACATAATGACTGCATTCCAGTTCAATAATGCCAGCATAGAAGAAAGAGAATGCGAATCCTATGTCAATCAGCTGTGAATTCCAGCTTGGAAGGAAAGTGGGGGCACATTCTTCGTAAGCTGGGATGACGCAGGATACATGACTTCTTCAATCACAAAATCTGGATTAGAGAATGACGTCTGATCCATGTTGGAATGAATCACGAGAATTGGCAAGCTAAGTTTGTAGAGCGGATTTTGTTTACATGTCCCTGGTCGAGTGGTCCTTGTTACCTCTGGAGCTTGCTGGCTGACAACGCTACCTTTTGTGGCGTCGTGTGACAGTCCATTTGATATCCTGGGGGGAGGAGAAATCCATCGCCCTTCTCTGGTACCGTACTGCAGTCAAATAGTCCTACTCCTGTACTCAGTCCTCCAAATGCATTCGGTTTTTTTCAGCGCTCGTCTCCTGTATCCCTTTGCCTCAGTTTGGATCCTTATGACGAATACGGTACCTGGTACCAGTCAATCAAGCCATTGCAGCCGGCTACCATAGTTACATCAGCGACAGTGGCAGCAGTACCGAACACACTCAGGTTCCGCTTTACTGGCTACAATCCGTTACCGGTACCTTGCATTGGATCCTTATGACGAATACATGCAAAACCAAACATTGTCAATCCAGCCATCGTAGCTAACTACCGTAGAGTTCATGCATCGATCGGTGACAGTGGCAACAGTACCGAACACACTCAGGTTCGGCTTTGCTCGCTGCACTTGGTTACCTCGCATTGGATTCTTATGACGAATACATGCACAAAACCGAATATTGTTAATCCAGCCATTGTAGCAGGCTACCGTACAGTTAATCGGACAGTGTCAACAGTACCGAAAACACTCAGGTTCCGCTTACTGGTACATCGTTACGGGTACCTTGCATTGGATCTTATGAGAATACATGAAACCAACATTGTCAATCCAGCCATCGTAGCTTAACTACCGTAGAGTTCTGCATCGGATCGTGACAGTGGCAACCATACCGAACACACTCAGGTTCGGTTTGCTCATGCATTGGTTACCTCGCATTGGTTCTTATGACGAATACATGCACAAAACAATATTGTTATCCATTGTAGCCCGCTACTAAGTTACATCGGCGACAGTGGCAACAGTACGCGACACACTCGGTTCCGCTTTGCTGGCTACTCCGTTGCTGGTATTTGCATTGGATCCTTATGACGAATACATGCACAACCGAACATATGAAATCCAGCCATTGTTGCCGGCTCTGCGTATGCTACACGACGAACAGTGGACACAGTACCGAAAGTTCGGTTTGCTCGCGCTACGGTTACGGTACCTCGCATTGGATCCTATGACAAATACATGCACACGAAAATTGTCAATCAGCCATTGTAGCAGGCTACTGTACAGTTACATGGCGACAGTGTCAACAGTACCGAAAACACTCAGGTTCCGCTTTACTGGCTACACCCGTTACCGGTACCTGTCATGGATCCTTATGAAAAATACATGCACAACAATGTCATCAGCATCTACCTACTACCGTATGCACGGGATACATTACAATTCAGCTTTACCTTTACAATTAGCAGGCTTATTCTAGAAATAATCAATAACTGCTCACTTATTTGGAAATACAAACTTTACATCTCTTAGATCAGATTAATCAATGCACAATGGTATTGTCGCATGGTAGCATGCAGGTTATGAGATGTTACTCATTCTATTCTTATATGTCTATCCCCTAGGTTGTCAATGGAATGACTACTCCTTGATGCAGATTGCTCCTGATGAGTTTCTTCTTGCATTCTTCATCGATAGTCCTTCCTTTATTGCAACTCACTTGCTTGATTCGCTCGAAAGCAATCCACTTGTTCTTACCCATTGACGATCTAATCACAAGACGTTCATCCTGTCGTCGATCGAAATGCAATGAACCATTATATAACCAGGACTCTCTATGGGAGTCCACCTTTCTTATCTGATTGCGATCGTAATCTCTATGAGGATCCTATTATCTCTTTCACGTACCACTGCTACTGCTATGCATCCTCCCGGTACCCGACATATCGAGTCGGCGAGTTACAGGTCGAGATCGATCAGCCGGTAAATCGAGTTACACATCGATAAGCAGCCTTCATCGCATACTAGGCTTCGGCTGGTGTGTCATGGACCTTGACATCATGCTTCGAGGGTCTTTATTATCGATTTCTTTGGCTGAGTCATGCTGTTGGCCTTTATATCTTCGAAAAACTCCTCACTTTTCCTTAACTCAAAACATTAGAGGATCATCCTCCTTGTTTCCGTGATGGGTGTTGTTCTCGGCGTTGAGTCTCTGCTTACGCGGGACCGGCATTGGTCGTTTGGGTTTGGCTTTGCAGCGACTGGCTTTCAGTTTGTCGTGTTGAACGATCAATCGCTCCGTACGAGAGGTCAAGATCGCGATCGATTGTCTATGAAACGAGCGATTCAAGCAACTCGAAGTGTTGGAAAGCTCATAAATTCCATCTTCGATTGACTCGATTGACTGGTCCACCGCGTCTCTCTTGCTCCTCCTCTTGTTGCAATTGCTCTTGTTTCCATTGTCGCACTGTTGACCTTGTTGATTTTCAATGCCTCCTATTCCATCAGATATTAATGGACCTTGAAGACGCTTCCTCTGCATCAGCATCTCAATCTTCAACAACACGGCACCAGCACCAAGCATCTTTGTTCAGCTCACAAGGCTTCAGACAAGCCCTCTTTGAATCTGATCCAATCATCCCACCATCTGAACCCCCAACCACTGACTGCAGCACATTGACGCAGTTCAATTCCAGGAGCTCCTCCAGCACATTGGGAAACCAAAAGAGAAGACCAAGCTTACAGAAGTCCCTCGGCTGGGAGGTATCAACCACAATGGAGCATGGACAGGATTCGGCTCAGATGGACTGGGAAAGGCAACTCAAAGCCCTATGCCTCAGGGGTTTCCATGGTGACGACCATCTGAAACATCACACCACAGTCCAGCCTATCGAATTGGCATGCAAGAAAGGACTGAAGGATTCACCAGTCTACTAATTTCCACTCTGACTGAGTCAAATGCCTTTCTGGGTCTCATGTGCTTGCCTCTCTTTTCGCCTTTGAAAGTATGATGACAGAGCATGGTATGGAAGGGGTCTTTCAGTTTGTTGTTGGAGACCTTAAATACTAACACTATTAATAAAATCAAACATGTTTCACTTGCTCCTGGAAAGTCCTCAGAGTCTTAATGATGAGGAAAAAATGGCTCAAGGCACCTCAAAGTCAAACAGTCAGTGGGGTCAG